AATAAAAGAATTACATTGTCTAGTCTCTTGTTCCAGGCTGAGTGTTTGGATACACTGTGCTTTGGAATGTGTGAGTAAAACAGAGTTTCACTGGAGTCGAGATGCCCACAGTGTGCCGTCCTTGGGTGCCTCACTGAGGTGAGGCAAAAGTGAAACCAAACAGGGCAACATACTCGGGGGAGGACCAGTTGTGTAGAATGTATACTTACGGACATTTCTACACTATTAGCATCAATAAACAGGCATTTATCTGCCTGTCCAACATGATAGCAGAAGTGCTCATGTAACTTTGATGCATTTCAAGCATTTGTTATTTAGAAGTAAAGAAGCTAACAGCCTGTATTTGAGAAATCACTCAAGATCTATGACAGGTAGATATTGTTAAAGGGTTATGGGAATGTCCCTGTGCTCTCAAATAAAAATGGTTTGAAAATTCATCAAGGCCAGAGAGATGACAGATGGAATGTTTGTGCCTGTTTAAGGATCGGAGATGAGGAATGAGCCTCTTCTGACTTGGGCTCTGGTTGTCAGAGGTGATCACTCCAAATCTAACATGAAGAAAATCAAAGGTTCCAGGAGCTGGGCTGGGTTGATCTCTTGTCCTCTGGCAGACTATTCCCAACTCACTGGCATCCCTCCTTCCCCGTCCTGATACCAACACTCAGGATTTCAGCCACTATATTCTGATGGAGATAGAGTATGGAGAAAAGAAATGAGGTGTCAGGGGGGAAAAAAACCCATAAAAATGCAAAAAATATAACAGAAGAATGTCTAGGAAATGGCAGAGAATGGCCTTTTAGAAACCTGCTATAAATTTGTTGAGACTTTACTTTAGAATAAGGTTTATGCCACAGGTACCAGAAAATCTTGGCGCATTGCCAAGTTATAACCCATATGTAAAATTCTTTTCAGCTATATGGTGTTAGGTGATGTCTGTGAAGTAGAATGGTCACCAGAGCCCATCCCATGACATGATGTGGCACAGCATACACAATTTATTGTGAACAAGAAATGAAGATAAGAAAGGGTACTATCAAGTGGAAGTCATAGGTGGAGAGGTTCCTGAAATATGGGAGAACCCTGATTAATGATTTTACTAGGTTCATGGACAGTGCAGTGATCAGTTTTACTTGAACAGTGATGGGATGCTAAAGGGAGACCATGTGATTGGTGTGCTACTACTATAGATACTTTCAAAGACACAGAGACACATCGTTATATGGTATTCATGAATGCCTTATAATTATTGCTGATTTATTTATGCCATTCTGGGGTTTTTAATGTCTTCAAATATGCTGCCCAATATTCTTGTATTCAAAATATGTCAAATAAGCACGTTTGCACATGTACACACACACACACACACACACACACGCACACACACACACACAGAACTACTGTTTAAGAGCTTTGTTGTTTTTATATAATTCTTAATTGATGGAGAAAGCTTTAAGGCCGATGTCCCGTTATGGCTTGTCGAATAAGTTTTAGTCTATATATTCAGAATGACTTAGTATTGATTGTCTGCACCACATAAGAAGCACTTTTCAGTGATTTTAATTGGTTTTTTATAAGTATGGCAGCTATATGTCCTAGATTTTCTAGGATGATCTTGATTTCAAGGACCAATATAATTGTCTCTAAAGTACATAAATTATAGTCAGAGCATGTGTTCCAATTTTAACTCACATAACATGATCATTATATTTAGATTATATTTTAGCACAGGTCATGGAATCTGAGCACTCCACGGTGCAGTTGAAATGTTTCTGAGACAAGCTGGGGAGAGAGCTATGATGATCAACACATTGATTAGCCTTTCTGTCTGGGGACCAGGAACAGGTCTCTCTCCCTGATTCCTCATCATGCCAGGTCATGTTCTTTCTGTTTTTATCCCTCCTTTTCACCCATCACTTCCTCCACTCTTAATTAGTATATCAGGGACAGTCAAATGATGTACAGAGAAAAGTGATAGAAGAGGCATCACCAGGATTTTGCCTTCTGCAACTTTTCTTTTAAAGTTGGAAATGAAAAATCAGAGAATATAGTGAAAACCCTCTTCCTACCTTGAGACTTCTGGAATTGTTTGTTAGAGTGATTTGGAAGGCCAAGTGGGTTTTTTTCAGGGGAGGCAGCTATTAGAGATGATTGAGATTTGACAGCAAAAGTATTTGCTTGTTTGTTTACAGCATTACTTCCAATGGTTTAACATGGTGGGAAAGCAAGAAATCGCTCAGGGTGAAGGAGTTGGAGGATAATATTGCTTGATGGCCAAGCTAAGATTTGTAAAGAATCAAACGACTGCTCAGTTCTCTGCTCTGCAACAAAGTGAACTGTTGACATCCATTCGTTTTACTTACAGTGCTGGTTTCTTGGCTGGAAGGAAATATCGTGTTGTATTATCGTTGTAGATATTTGCTTTGGCCTCACCTGATTAGGAAGATTCTCTGGTAAGCTTGCTGAGTGCCCCAGAACCTAGGAAGTATAGAACAGCTGAACTTCAGGAAGACGAGGCAACTCGATAGAGCAGGCCATTACAAAAACTACAGTTGGAAGGCCTTTCTGAATTCTAGGCAATTCTACAAGCTTCTGGAGTTGTGAGTCTTCACTCCAGTGCTCTGTTACTTGTAGGACTATGCAAATTTTTGAAGGTCTGTTTTATTCTAGTTTCTTTTTACTTCATTGGCTTATTTTTCAGTACCTTGAAGCTTCTCACATTTTCTTTTCTTTTTTGTCCCTAAAAAACCCTATTATTGACTTTATTAAATGATAAATAAAATTTATCATGTTTGAATAGCTATACATTCATTAAAAGCTTTATTGATATGTAATTTATATAACATACAGTTTATTCATTTTAAGTGTACAATTCAATGAGTGTTAGTATATTTACTGAGTTGTACAACCATCATCACCATAATCTAATTTTAGAATATTTTTATCATCCCTGAAAAATAAACCTTGTACCAAGTAGAAAAATTCCACACCTTACCCTCTCCCTGCCCTTGGAAAACCTAATCTACTTTCATTTTCTATGATTAGATCTGCCTATTCTGAACATTTTATTTAAATGGAATCATACAACATGTAGTCTTCTGTGTCTGACTTCTTTCTTTTGGCATAATGTTCTCGAGGTTCATCCATATTGTAGCACCTGTGAGTACTTTATTCCTTTTTATTGCTGAATAATACTCCATTGTCTGCATATACTACATCTTGTTTACTCAGTTATCAGTTAATGAACATTCAACTTGCTTTTACACTACTATAAATGAAATTGTTTTCCTAATTTCATTTTAGTATGTTAATTGCTAGCGTATAGAAATACAATTAATTCTTACATGTTGATCTTGTGTCCTGTAACCAACAACCAACATATAACATTCTGTTAGTTTCAGATGTACAACATAATGATTGCATATTTGTATATGTTGTGAAATGATCACCACAATAAGTATAGCTAAGATCTGTCTATATACATAGTTTCAAACTTCTTTTTCTTGTGATGAGGACGTTCAAGACCCACTATAGCTAAAAATACTGTATTGCATATCTAAAGTATTTTTAGATTACTTGACGAGACCACTTACATGTTTCTGTATCATAAAAAGTGAAGGTACCAAAATACTTTTTCATGATTAGCCTTCATCATATTTATTTGGGTGAATAAACTCATTTAATATTCTAAGTAGATAAATATAGTCAAGATAACTTGTGGTTCCTTTGTCTCTATACTCTCTCCAAGTAACTTTTTTAAATTGGTTATTTTGGTAAGAATTTATTGAGCATCTGTTTTATGTAGAACCTCCAATACATGCTATAATATTGTGGTAACAAGTGAGGAGGGTGTGCTTGGGGAGGAGCAGTCCTGAAGAAACAAGACATGCTTCCTGGGATCTTTAGTTCCCTAGAGAAGGAAGGTTAGATACATATATGTTGAAAAGAATAAAATGACATGCAATAAATTCAATACTCTGACCTGGGATACAGAGACAAAAAAACTCATGGCCTCTGCCCGAAAGATTCATATAGTAATAAATCAGCACATAATTGGAGCTCAAAAATGTTACTGCAGTTTTGTAGATACCTTTGGAGTAACAGGATGCCATGCTGTGTTGTGCCTGGCTCCTTTTTAATGTTAAAAGGTACTGAATATAGTAGCACCATTAGCCTAATTTCTAAAGAAAATATACATGCCTCTGTAAGACTAAGGTCATATGGCTAAACTTACATGTCAGAAAAATTAGCAAAAAAAAAAATTGTTTTTAACTGTGCCTGTAGATAACTTAAAAGTTATCTACTAATCTTATAGAGGTGAAATAGAAACTTTCCAAAATACATCTTCTCAACTCTGATGTAGTTTTAATTCCTCCATTAATTTATGCCATCTTTGGCAATCACTTAACTTTTTTGTCTTATCGGTATTACTGGCCTAATTAGCTTCCGTGCGTGAAGTGGAAGGAGACACAAAAAAGTATTCTGCATGCTTGGTGCAAATACTTTATTTTCTACTTGTTTTCTTATATGCAGATTTGAAAACCATAATATTTAGAAATCTTACTTTGCAAAAAGAAATTAAACAGTACATACATAGTTCATGGGATAAAGTCAAAGGCCAAATAGAAAGTTTTTTTTTATTTTATAGGAAAGTGCATCTTCTCATTAAACTGAGTTCCTTTAGGAGAGAGGCTCTTTCAACTCATTAGCCTAAATTTCTAGAATACAATCTTCAAAGCATGTCTTGTAAGAAGAATGAACGCCCCAGCAAGCTGCCCAGTTAGTCTTTCCTGCAGTCAAGACCACAACTCCCAGAATTCCACTCTCCCCTCGCGTTGACAGATTAAAGGCGAGAAAGTCCCAGCACCCTTGGCGCGCGATTCAGACTACAATTCCCACTATACCCATGGGCTCCGGAAACCTTGTCAAATACCACTTGTTGCCATAGCATCCGGGTCCCGGCCAACCAATCCAGGCGCTCCTAAGGAGTAGAGGCGGGCTGTTCGTATCTCTCACCAACCCCAGGCACCTTCTTGTGGAGCGTGACCGGAGGAGGTGGGAGCTCCGGACCGAAGCCTTCTCCTTGCTTCTTGGGGTCGTGGCCTTGCACTCACTGTGCGAGGGAAGCGTGCGGGCACGTCCACGCGCGTCTATGCGCGTGGGGCCTGAAGTGATCGTGGGTCCACGCTAGGTCTCTGCGGGGACAGAAGAAGCCATGGGCGGGACCGCCAGCACACGCCGGGTCACCTTCGAGGCGGACGAGAATGAGAACATCACCGTGGTGAAGGGCATCCGGGTGAGTGACAGTGGGCGGGCGGAGGGCCAGCGCTCGGACTCGGACCCCAAACTTATGACCTTCCTGGGACCTGCTCAGCCTGATTTTCCCTATCCTGGCCCCCAGTGTTTTCCGGCCCGAAGCCGAGTTTTCCGGCCCGAAGCCGAGTTTTCTGCAAAGAAGCTTGAAGTTTCAAGACTTCGGACGTTCATTCAAAGATATTTCCTGCTTGAGTGCCAAAAGTGTTGAGCACTGCTTGGCGCGTGGGGGTTGCCAGTTTGATTTAGACCCTCCAAAGGCTTACAGTCTAGTCTCGGCTATATTACTCACTAGTTATGGGACTTTATTTGAAACCCCTGCCTCATTGTGCCTATCTGTGAAATGGGGCCTGTCTTACTCCTCCTAGGTTCAAGACCCAAAACCTTGCTTTTGCACTGCTCACATCACCTCTCTTGGGGTGATTTGGCATTTTAAGGAACACTTTATCAGCTCTCTGTCATTTAGTACTCTTCTCATACCACCCATTCCTCCAATACACACAGCCTGAATTACTGACTTTTGTGGCCTGCCTCAGGTGACTGCTTGCTTCTCCCTGCTCACTTTCATTTGATATCTAGTCTTTCCCAGGCACCTCCTTTGTGGCCCGCTGTGCCTGAGTTTTGGACTAGGCCAGTTGCTTCAGGACTTATGTCTGCCAGCCTGCGAGGGCTTCAAATAGGGTTGCATTTTTGCAGACCACTGGAAGTAATGCAGTCAGTTCCAACCAAGACATTGTAGAGAATTTTTAAATGCCACCTGCATGTGCTTGATACATAAACTGAAAACTTGATTTTTCTCTAGGCGGTCAGTATCCCAGCACTGACTTCATTAACAAATTCTGCAGCACCTGAATTTGGAACCTCACATTTTTGGAAGTATGCCTGAATCTAGTAAATAATGCATTTTGACTTTAGAAAGTTTTATAGTTTATATTTTCTTTATCTGTTATTATACAACCAGCATAAGTAAATTATATATGTAAATAATTTTTAGCATTTGTTGCTAGGAAATAAAACTTCTTAAATATTTAAGTGTTTTAAAACTTTTTACTCTGAAACTGTTACCTTGAGAAGAATTTATTAAAGTTTTCTTTGTAGAAACTCAGACTGTTGAACTTCATTTTTGGTCTGTGACCAGCATTTCTTTATATTAATTAGTGGTTGTAGCACAGTATGTAATAAAATGTCTGAGGCTGCATTTTTTGCGTTGTTGTGGTTTAGTTGGTACTCTTTGGAGTAAAATAAAAATAACCATAAACGCTTGAGTTTTTTTTGCAGAGATTTGTTTAATCTTGCCGTTAGGCTTTGCATGTTTCAAACCAGAGGGTGAAAAAGAAAAATGAGAAAGCAAAGTAAGTTTTGGGCAAGAAGTCATTGCCTAGAAAAATGTATAAATCCATGTTCTCATACTCTAATACAGAAACAGTGATGACAGCAAACAAAATTAAAAGAGACTTTAGCCACAGCACAGAGATGCATATGAAATATTAGATAAGGTTAAATAGGATACTAGGGTTAGATATTAGATTAAAATGGAAAGATTTGTTATAAAACTATTTTTTAAAAACTCTTTTTTTTTTTTTAAACCAAAGAAGGGATGTCCTTTGGCCACTCAACATAATGGAAGTATTCTTTATTTTTTTCTTTCTCATAGTGTGTGATCGATATTGTTAAAATTCCCACACACAGCATGCTCATTTTGACCTCTGTACTTTGCTTTTCTTCAGTATGTGCCCTTCACCTGGAATGTCCTTGTAATGTTCTCTGTTGCTTCACAATTTTTTTCAAGGGCGATTTGCAATTTCTCTGGGCTTTGGTTTTTTCATCTGCAAAATAATGGCACTTGAGTATATCACTAATTCTAATATTTTCCAGTTCTGAAATTCTGTGAGTGTAGTGGCATTGAAAGTTTCTTGTAGTCTAACTCAGCCCATTGCAGTTTCCTCTAAAAATGGCTTGCTGTTGAATTGTTGAATACTTAATGGGTCATTGTGACTTCTTTGAGGTCATGAACATCAACCTGGAGTTAAATAGACCTCAGTTTAAGATTGGGCATTTACCAGCCTGAAGCCTTGGACAGGTCACTTCTCTGATCATATTTCCTTATCCTTAAAGCGGAATGCCATCACTTCTCTTGATTGTGGTGAGAAAATGAGATAAGGTATTTAAAACACATGGCACATGTAGATTTTTTTTTTTAAATTTATTATTATTTATGCCTACAGGCACATGGCACATGTAGATTTTTAAAAAAAATTTATTATTATTTATGCCTACAGCACCTGGTTTTCCTAGGTGGTCTCCCATCCAATTACTAACCAGGCCCGACCCTGCTTAGCTTCCGAGATCAGACATCGGGCTTGTGCAGGGTGGCATGGCCATAGACCATGGACCGTGGCTCCTCTGGGGCGCGAACACAGGACCTTCTGTGTGTAAAGCGGATGTGCTAACCGCTATACTATGGAACCACGTCCACAATGTAGATTTTGAATAAAAGGCAGCTGTTATTTTAGGGTTCCTTCTACATCTAATATTCTAAGATTCTTTAGAAGTGCTGTGTAGTGGAGTGGAAAGAGCATGTGCTTCACAACCTAGCCGACCTGGGTTTGGTCCTGGCTCTGCTCTTACTGGTAGCCCTGGACAAGTCACTTTTGACTGCTTCCCTGTTCAGTATATCTGGATAATGCAGTTTACTTGTGATAATTATGTATCCAGCACTACTTGAGAGAATTCAACATAATGTATGTAAGCATCTAGCACAGTGTCTAGTACATTGAGAGCATTTGTATTTATGTGAGTAATAGCTGTTATTAGAGCTGTTCAAGGGAATGGATAAGTAAACTTACATGAGTGCAAAACAATAGATGAAAATAAGAGCATTTTGTGCTCCCACAGGCATACCTAAAGGGGTGTGGATTGGGAAATGGGAGTCCTGAGTTCTGCAACTGATAGCTGGTGAGATTTTTGTCTAGTGTTTTTTTTAGATATTTTCAGCTCATCTTTATATTTTACTTAGCTTGAAACCATCATCTTGTTCCTTTCGAGGCATGGGGAAGGATAAGCAACACTCTCAGTATCATAAGTGAGCCCACTGTTTTCAGCTCAGTTGATTAAAATGTGATGCCGATGAGGCCCAAACTTCAGTGTTGAATTGCAGGTAGGTGATTTAGCCCTACTAAAGAAAACTTTCCAAATTTCCCAATGATGACATAACAATTATGTCATCACTCGTAAGAAATGAGAGTGTACCAACAATCGAACAGACTCAACCACTGCTGGAAAACCAATTCTGTGTTTCACTGATAAGGATAGTAATTTTGTCTTCATTTATCTTAATATACAAAGAGTAACATTTAGTAAGCAACATAAGGCTTTCAGGAAGTAGGCTGTGTTTATTTATTACGTTTTTCCAGATTTTTCTTGCTAAGGTCCTCAATAGCTAGTAATGAAAGGATCTACTTAAAATTAAAGTTTAAAGTTTGTTTTTACCTACCAAGCATTATTCTCGTGGTATTTAAAGGGTCTTATTTTTTTCTTTTACCCTTAGCAATTGATAGCTTTTACCCCACTTCCATCAAATAACCTGTATTCTTACACCTGTTGCCAGCTTTGACTCTGAAACAACTCATGGGTTGGATAAAAGGCCACTCTCTTGTCTTGCCTTCTTCTCCAAGTCTAAAATAAATTTCTTGTGATAGAAAGACCAACCATTTTCATTATTCATATTACATGTGCTTAATAGGATTTATTTGAGCACCTGCTGTGCCTGCTTGGAAAGTATGCCTTCCACAAGTTTATCTGAAACATCAAAGCTGTGAGTGAACTCTTCCAGAGCAAATGTCAATTTCAATCAGTATCATTTTCAAAGTAATATTTATCACGCTTTCCAGGCATAAGCTAATCTTTGCACTGGCCTTGAAGTTGCAAGCTGAAATTCACAGAAGACAGTTGTGGTACTATGGATGCTTATATGAAACACAGCTAGTACCTTGGGAAGCATTGGGAGTTGAGAGCTTCTAAATGGAGAGATTATCTAGTGTAGGATGTTGAGGATAAATCTAGTCAGTCACGGGGAGTGTTGAGGAATGTTGTTCAGGTAATTCAGTTAACTGGTAGGTGATTGGTCCCTTTGCACTTTAGATTTTAGGAATCCTTGGTTATAGTATCATGTTAAGCTTTCTAAATTTTATACAGACAGAAGTTCATGTTTTTTGCTAGTAACAAATGCAAAGAAATGCAGCTGACAAACTACAAACATAAGCTAAAAATTACATTACATATATATTGTAATTTATGTGACATTTCCCCTTTCCCATGCATAAGTATGTGGGAGTAATATCTTCCAAATAATATTGGCAATTTTTGGAGCCTGTATCTGTAAATGGTATTTGAAAAGAAAACCAACACTCACAGAGAAAATGACCTATCCTACATGGAAGGAAGACCAAGTGAGAAAAATGGATGCAAGTCCTTTAATCAATTTAATAAGACACATCTGGAAGTGGATGAGAAAAACTTACGGAGGTGAGGGTCCGAATCGTTTCTGTCTCATGTGGTTCTAACTTTATATCTTCGAGAAAAACGTAAAGTGAGTTCTCTTTTTGCTCTATTCTTTGGAAGTAGAATATTTTTGTTCATCTCACTCAGTTTCCTGTTTCACAGAAAATACTGAATTCTGGGTCAGTGGGTCATGTGTTTATGCCACTTTTAGATCAGACCAACCAAGGAGTTTGGGAAGAGATGAGTGGGGGGACTATAGATGACACACATTCTTTCCCTCTTCTCTGGAGCACATGTTGGTGTGGTGAGCAGTACACACCAAAAACTGGCAAACCCCATTTACTTAGATTTGTCTGTAGGAGCCATAGAGAATAAGATGGATAATCAGAAATCAGTGGGCTGAATTCTGCTCTGTTGGCAGGCCCGCTTCTCTTGGTTCTCTCTTATGTTAGAACCAAGTGGTTCTTAAGTTCTATTCGTTGA